CCCGATTACCAGTGTTTTGAACTGTGCATCTGAAAGTTTGGCTATTTCTTCATCACTTAGATTTATTGGCTCTGGGGCTCTAAGTTCTTCTTGAGGCATGTTTCGATCTGTTCGTGCCGGTTTGGCTGAAGGGTTTGTTGTTGTCATACTTCTGTGAAGTTCAGTTTTCTGTGGTTTTGGCTGTGTTTTTGGTGCTAAGACTTTGTTGTTTTTAAACTTGGTTGTGGGAGGAGGCAGTGCCTCCACCTATGCCTCCATCTTGGTGCAAGTCCTAATTTTAATATATTTTTGAATTACAATATAATATAATATATTGAATATAATATTTTAATATATTTTTGAATTACAATAGAATACATTTTTGAATTACAATGGAATATAATATATTGAAAGCATACAACTTATTATTTTTTTCTGATGCATGCACCAGATAATTTGTCACAATTAAAGACCATGTCCCTTACTACTAATGTCTTTTCATGGCCTCTTGTGATCTCTTTATTCTCCATCTCTCCACCTTCTTTTTTTAGTGTTAATACAACTCTCATCAGCTTCTTTTATTATAAATTCATATACATTTTCAGGATTTTCCAAATTTTTTATCATGAAGTTTGTAATTTTACATATATATAAAATATATAATTTGATATCAGGCATTGTGTTCCCTCCTACTTCGTTCTTTTTTCTCAAAATTACTGATGCTATTCAGGGTCATTTATGGTTCCATGTATATTTTTAAGTGTTTGTTCTATATCTGTATAATATGTCATTGGTATTTTGATAGAGAATGTGTTGTATCTATAGATTGCCTTGGATAGTACAGGCATTTTGATGATGTTAATTTTTCCACTCCATGAACATGTTATATAGTTCCAGTTATTTGTGTCTTCCTTAATTTCTTTCTTCACTGTTGTGTAGTTTTCTGAGTACAGGTCTTTTACTTGTGTTGTTAAATTTATTCCTAAATATTTTATTTTTTGTTGCTATAGTAGATGGAATGTCTTTCCTAATTTCTGCATCTGATATCCCATTGTTGGTGTACAAAAATGCCTTTGATTTCTGAATGCTGACCTTGTGTCCTGCCATTTTTCCAAATTCATTTATTAGGCTGAGAATTTTTTTGGTGGAGTTTATGCGGTTTTCTATGTATACTAGCATGTCATCTGCAAACAGTGACAGCTTTACTTCATCCTTTCCAATCTGGATGCCCTTTATTTATTTTTGTTTTCTTGTCTAAACACAGTGGCTAGAACTTCCAATACTATGTTTCATAGAAGTGGTAAAAGTGGACATTCTTGTCTTGTACCTGATCTTAGTGGGAAAGCTTTTAGTTTCTACCTGTTGAGTGTGGTATTGACTATAGGCTTCCCATATATGGCCTTTATTATGTTGAAGTATGCTCCCTCTACTCCCACTTGGCTAAGTGTTTTAATAATAAGTGGCTACTGTAACTTATCAAATGCTTTTATAGTATCTATTGATATGATAATGTGTTTTTTGTTTTTCACATTGTTTATATGGTGTTTTACATTTATTGATTTGTGTCTATTATACCATCCTCACATCCTTGGGATGAATCTCAATTCATCATGTTGTATGATCTTTTTAATGTATTGGTAGATGTGGTTTGTTAATATTTTTTGAGGATTTTTGAATCTATGTTCATCAGCAATATTGGCCTGTAGTGTTCTTTCTTTTTTGTGTCTTTATCTGGTTTTGGAATTAGGACAATACTGGTCTCACAAAGGAGTTTATAGTCTTCCCTCTTCTTGGATTTTTTTAATAGTCTGAGAATAATAGGGGCTAGCTCTTCCTTAAATGTTTTGTAAAATTCTCCTGTGAAACCATCTTGTTCAGGGCTTTTGTGTGTTGGGAGTCTTTTGATTACTGCTTCAATTTCACTAGCTGATATCTGTCTATTCAGGCTTTCTGTTTTTTAACTCAGTTTAAAAAACTGAGGATTATATATTTTTAAAAAACTGGAGGGTTATATATTTCTAGGAATTTGTCTATTTTATCCAGGTTCAAATTTCTTGGCATATATTTGTTCATAGTAATTTTATATGATCTGTGTTGGTTGTAGTTTCACTTGTTTCATTTCTGGTTTTATTCATTTGGGTCATGTCTCTTATTTTTATTTTTTTATGACTCTGGTTAAAGGCTTGTTGATTTTCGTTTTCTTTTTAAAGAAGCATGTTTTAGATTATTGATACTTTGGATTGTTATTTTAAGTTCTACATCATTTAATTCTGCTCTGCTCCTGATTATGTCCTTCCTTCTACTCTCTCTGGAATTTTAACAGCCTCTTGACATTAGGAAGCTTCACCCTCACACCTCACCTGCAATCTCCCTAGTTTTGGGTGATGTCCTGTTCTCTAAGAGATAACAAAATAGCCATCAGGTCAAACTTAGCTTCATAAAGAGTGCGTTAATTTGCAGCTCTGCGGACATCAGTCTTTTTTTTTTTTTTAAAGATTTTATTTATTTATCTTTAGAGGGGAAGGGAAGGAGAGAGGGAGAGAAACATCAATGTATGGTTGCCTTTCGGGTGTCCCCTGCTGGGAACTGGCCTGCAGGGAACGGGCCTGCAACCCTGGCATGTGCCCTGACTGGGAATCGAACCGCGATTGTCTGGTTCGCAGGCCCGCGCTCAATCCACTGAGCTACACCAGCCAGGGCGACATCAGTCTTAACTAGCACATTTGAATCAATCCTTATTTGTATTACTGATGATTACAATGATATTCTATTAATAAATTTGACAGAATAATGCTAAACTTATGCAAATAAATTACTGTCATGAAAATAAGAATACTCAAGAAGACGTTAGAATTTAGGGAAAGAAGTGAAACAGAGAGAAAGAGATCAGTGTTACTACCCACATATGTGTCTTTTAGCTGCTTTTTGTTGTCCACAACAGTGTCCAGGTGCCCTCCACATGACCCCCTGCAAAAGGACAGAAATAGGATTTCTGCAAGCTCATTCCATGCTCCTACTGGTCATCATATAACAACTGGCCATACTTCGAGGGACAAGGTGTCTTTTGCACTGTAAAGATGGTGCAGGTCAGACCAACCAAATGTGAGATCTAATGTAAAATGTAACCATAAGTCAAATAAAAGGATAATGTCAGCTTTTATTATTGAGCATTTATTGACTCAATGTAAGTGTTCTATTTTTTTAATTTTCACAACAAATCTATGCAAAAACAGCAAAAGGTTTATTCAGAGTTTAATAACAGGTGAAGATAGAAACATCATTTATATTTTAGGCCCAGATTGAGGGGCTCACATTCAAAGAAATTATGGGGTTGCTGGCATCACATTGAACATTCCCATATCATTTCTCCTGAGAAGGTCTATGGTGAAGGTTATGTGGCCACAGGACAGCATCAACCTCTTAAAGAGCCATAGGTCCTTGTGGTTGTAAAACCACTGAGTGGAGCTTACAACTGTGTAGCAGCAAGAAGCACAGTGTCCAAATTGTTTGTGACTGGGGTTGCTGGCTAGAATGTTGGCACTCTCATAGGCTCTGTACAAAAAGAGGTTGTGGCTGATAGAGAGTGGTCTTGGGACCTGGGGTCACTATGCACCTTCTGACATCTCAGCCACTCACACTCCACAGTTAAGTTTGTAAAGGTCATCTGAGGATGGTTTTCAACTCTGCAGAAAAATGATTGCCTTTGTTGAGATGACAATGTATAAAGAGAGGTATGGATATCTTCTCTGACCCCAGATTACTCCAGAGTGGATTCTGAAATGTTCTCGTGGACATCTCCGTACTTTCAGCACAGAAAAACCCTATTTAGCCATGTGTCCTATAACATCAACATTGGGTGAATTTTTTCTTTCAAAGCCTATCATTGATCTTTTCCTAGAAGTTATCTGACTTTAAAAATATCAGGTCCCACTCCTCATAAATGTTTGTGTATTCAATCCACTGTGCCACACCAGCCAGGTGTTATGCCTTCTTATATCCCCTGGAAGCACCCTGGTTTCTAAAGTCCATCTGGCCTAGAGATCTGTGTAAGATTTTGATGTATGGTCAAAAGCAAAGAGCCAACAAAGCTCAAGACAATTAAGAAAATAATGTCTATTTTTTAATACTGTGCATCCTATTTGTGGACCACCTGTGAGACAGGCATACAGAATTTATAAAAATGCTAACAAAAGCCAAGATTGTGTTTTGTAATGTGGGTGCACCTCAGAGGTCTCTGATTGATCATAAGGCAGTAAAGGCATTGGGTGCACATGACCAAGAACCAGGGACACACCCAATTGTCTTTTTAAGGAGTCATATTCCACACACAGTTAAGGGTTTTTTTTTTTGTAGATTTTATTTATTTATTTCTAGAAAGAGGGGAAGGGAGGGAGAAATAGAGGGAGAGAAACATCAGTGTGTGGTTGCCTCTTGCAAGCCCCCTGACTGGCTCACAACCCAGGTATGTGCCCTGACTGGGAATTGAACTGGTGACTTTTTGATTCACAGGCCAGCTCCCAATCCATTGAACTACACCAGCCAGGGCTCAAAGTTTCCAATATTATTAATAAAAGAACAGAAATGCACTGAACTTACGGAAATAGTTCTATTGACATATAAATAAGAATACCCAGGACCTTAGAAATCTCTTGAAAGACGTCAAAGAGAAAGACAAAGATCTGTCGCTACTCACATGGGGGTCCTCTTGTCCACCCCCATTGTCTACGACCATGACCAAGTGCCTCCACATATTTTCATGGAGAAGAAACACTGCTCAAATTCTATGAGCTCATCACCTGCTCCCACTGGTTATTATTACATGACCACTCCTCATCCTCTGGAGGGCACAATGTCACCTCCAAGGGAACAAATGATACTAACCCGAGATGAGAATTGGTATGAAAAGTGACCTTAGTTAAAAAATAATGACAATGTATGCTCACATTTTTTTGTGTTTATTGATTTAATGCAAATCTTTTAAGTGAAAGATTCAGAAATAATCTATTACAAATAATGCAAAAAATTTAATTAGGATTTAATAACATAGGAGGAAAGAAGGGTCATTTAAATTTCACATTCAGCTTAAGGGGACAGCTTTCAGTAGACATGATGGGGTTTGAGACTTCACATTGGTAAATCCCAGCATCTTCCCTCTTGACAGGGTCTATGGTGAGTCTTTGGTGGTCTGCAGACACTTTCATTCGATCCCTTAAATGCAGTTTCATGCCATTGAACAACCAGTCAATGAAGAGTCCATTTGTATTGCAGGTAAAGACCACGGTATCCTTATTCTCTGTGACTGTGGTGTTGCTGGCTACAAGGGTGGCTCTTATCACAGGCTCTGTGCAGAAACAGGGAATGTTACTGATTAAGGATGGGCTTGAGACTTAAGAATAGAGCCATGCTGCTCACTCAGATCTCAGCCACTCGCAACCCACATTGAGCTGTATAATGGCCACCAGAGTATGTTCCCAACATTTACAGAAGAATAATTGTCTAAGTTCAGGTGAAATTATGTAAGGAGAGAGCTTCAGCTACTCTCTGGCCCCATATAACCCAGGGTGATTCCATACATATTCCCTCAGTCATCTCTGTTAGCAACTCACAAAACCCCTTCCCAGCCCATACATCCAATAACCTCATCATCAGATAGAACTTTTTCGCTCATGAGCTTTTATTGATCTTTTCCCAGTACTTCTTTTTTTTCCCCACAAAACATCAGGTCCTGCTCCTTAGTTAAACTTTTATCCATGTTGTGGAAAGCAGGCTTACCACCATATCCATCTCTGGAGCCAAAGAAGTTTACAGTAAGTGGAAAAGTACTTAGCTTCTGTTAAATAATTTATTAGGCAGTAAAGACTGTTCAATGGAGAGATGACAGTCTTTTCAACAAACTGTGTTACATAGCAATATTTGCATGCAGACAAGTGACATGGGTCACTGTCTGACACCACACACAAAAATTCAGTCAAAGAGATAAAATTCTAGAGGTTAGACCCAAACCTATAAAATGCTTAGAAAAAAATTATAGGGAGAAGCACTATGACTTTGATTTGGCAATGAGTTTTATGAATATGAAACTAATAACAAAGCTAAAAAATAGACAATTTGGATTTTGTTAAGAGGAAAATTTTTTCTTCATCAAAAAACAGAAGTCGAAAGGGGACATATGAAATTGGAGAAAATATTTTGCAAATCATATGGAAAATAAAAGGTTAATATCTAGAATATACAAACAAATCTATAATTCAACAGCCACCGCAAGACCAAATAAACTGACTTAAAACGGGACAAAACACTTAAATAGATATTTCTCCAGAGCATATATACAACTTGCCAATAGACACAGAAAAAATGCTTACCACCACTATTAGTTACAAAAATGAAAATCAAAACTCTCCAGGTTGCATTTGTTGCTTGTGATGTTGGTGTGGTTAACTTTTCTCTGAAGGCAAGAGAAAAAAATTGTCCTGTATAGTACATTCGTTTCTCCAAAATTTATTCAACCAGAGTTGGCATTTCTCACCTCTCACTCAACTTCAGTCTTTGAAATAACAAGGCAGGTCTGTGTATCACATGACAAATGCATGGAAATCTGAGCACTCGCATAATATATGGCCTTCAGCTATATGTCTGGGGGAAAGTACAGGCTTTCTCAAGTGTCATTTACTTGTCAGCATTTGGTTATGGAAAGACATAAGACTGGGACTGAGATACACCCCTGTACTTCCGGTTCTTCAATGACCAGCTTAATGTCTGATTGATCAGAAGCATTTTCTTGCAGCTTCACAGACTTCTGTTGCCCATTTGAGGTGTGTTTGTATGAAACACTGTTCTCAGGACATCCTAGAGACTAGGTTTGAGCAGAAATAATGCATAAAGATCAGAAGCAAGAATTACTCAGGCCTCTGGCCCAAGAGGTGTGGCAGGTCTTTCAAGGTGAGTGTGACTGAAATGAACCAGTGAGTCAATAAATAATAGAGCAGGATCCAATAAATGATTTAGGAAAGAGGAAAAAGGACAGGCAGTAGCTGATTATGGCAACACAGCTATGTTCTCTGCCCTTGTTCATTAGTCATTTTCTCTTCCCTGAGGACAGGTGAGGACTTGTGCAAATGCAAAACTAGTGTCTTATAGCAAGTCAGGAGCATGGACTTGCTGAAATTCTGTCACTTGTGGGCGATTTGTATTAGATGGCTATGGGATAGAAATTTGGGAAAAAACTGAAATTTCTCTGTATGTGAAAATTATCATTAACACCACAGAGCCTAAGACAATTTTCAAGAAAGACTATTTTATTAGAGAAAAGAAAAGCATCTGAAATAATGGTCCTAGTTCCTGGAGGCACAGAAAGCCTGTTCCTCATGGCAAGAATTTAAAGGACTCTGTATCCAGGTTCCAAGGTCTGGAGAAATTTTGGATCATTCATTCATTCATTCAATCACTATTTATTTCTTCCTATTTTATCAAAAGCAACTAAGTGTTTGTTACATGTTGCTCCCTCAATTTGTTTCAGGAGTAGAGTGGGGAGTAGGGAGTTGAGAAGGCAAAGTCTTTCCTTTATATCTGCTGGGGGTGACTCCACCAAAACAGGAAGCAAATAAGTAAGTGATGTCAACTCCACTGCAGGGAGGTGTGGATAGTTTACCTGAGGGGCAGACCTGTGCATTGACTTTAATTGTTAGTGAAGGTAATTTGGTTCTAGAGTAAAAATACATTATTTACCCTTTTTTTCACTGCAGAGATGAAACTGTATTTCTATGAGCTCAAGATACCTAAGACAAAAGTATCTGCACCAATTCATTATTTTAAGAAGCCAAAGACACCCTCATATGATCTCCAAGGTAGGGGAATTAGGTCTGTTGCTACAAACAGACCTCGAGAGACTCTGATCAGCTGCTCATATTCTGTGTGACTCTGCTTTAGTGACTGTATCTCCCAGTGCCTCAGCTTATTCTCAGTGAATACTTGGCTGCCAAGTGGTCAGTGTATGAACTGTAAAATACTTACAGTGTCTGACCGAAACCTTGGAAGAAAAGAGCTGCTCAAATAAGGGGAATCTGTTATTGATCGACTCCAAGAGTGAATACCCTGGGCTGATTCCTAGTAAATGAGGAGCTTCCAGGAGCATCTTTCTTTCTCAGTTTGTTTCTGGGGATGCTGAATTTCTTCTGAATCTTCCTAAATGCCCCAGGACAGTCAGCTATTTCCAAGGATGTTGTCTAACTGTGCTCTCCACACACAGACTCAAGTGATACCAAACTCCATTTCTACCAAGATGTGGTTCTTAGACCGGAGCCCTGACTGGTGACCACCTCAGAAGCCTTGTGAACCCATTAAACCATTACACACTTTTCCCTTTGGAAGAGGCCCAACCCAACCTGGCACAGGCTCACCAGATTCCCTGGATTCAAGATTCCAGGGACAGTGTTCTGGAGAGGGGTCTCTCAGCTGAGCTCTGTGTGAATTTCAGGAGGCCCTCAGACCATGATGTGATCTACTACATCAGGGTCATTGTCAGGGTCAAGTTCATAAGAAGGTGCTCAGGGAGCTTAATTGAAACTGGTTTCCCTCTCCTGAATTATTCTCATTAGACTGATCCTTCTGTCTGCATTGAGTGTCTGCAGGGCTGCAAGTTGGGAAGGAAACTGAGATCTTGGGAAGTTTGTCTACAGTCTGTGTGTCCAGCACTAAATGCCAAAATCCAACTCGAAACAAAATGCGGAGCAGCATGAAGACAGAGTTCAGGGCTGTCTGTCCTGTGTGTGAAACAGAATTCACCCCACCTGACACCCAGAAGTCAGAGAGCAATCACTCACCATATACAGTAAGCCTTCCAAATCCTATTTCCTTTTTTGAATCTTGAAGGAAGATTACTATAGTGTACATTCCTGCATCAGTTTTGGAGACCTTCTTTATCAGCAAGGATCCATCAAAGTTTATTTCCTCTCGACCACTAGATGCAGGACCTTTTATATTCCTTCTTATGCTTCTTTCATAATATTCAAGTATACGTTTGTATTTTGCACCTTCCCCTTTAAACCACATGAAGCCTTCAGAATTGGGAGGCTTATTGCGGATGTGTAGAATCACATCCTTCCCTTCGGCAGCATAGGTCGACACAATAGCGAGTTGGGCTGTGGTGGGCTGGCACCAGAAGGTTAAGAGTGACACTAGGAAATAAGACAAAAATAAGATCTATGTTTGTATGTATTCATTGTGAGGGAAAGATGAGTCCCTGAATCCTGAGCAGGTCTCTTTATCTCTCAGCCTTGGTCTTCATGTTAGTGTGCACCTCCCATTGTCAAGGTCAACAGCATGGCCCCCATTACTTCAGAACCTCCGAAGCTGGTATTTTGTTCTGTTTCAAATACTCTTTTCCAGGTTTTTTTAAAAAATATTTTATTATTTATTTATCTTTAGAGAGGAAGGGGGGGAAGGAGAGAGGGAGAGAAACATCAATGTATGGTTGCCTTTTGTGCGTCCCCTGCTGGGAACTGGCCTGCAGGGAACTGGCCTGCAACCCAGGCATGTGCCCTGACTGGTAATCGAACCGCGATCGTGTGGTTCGCAGGCCCGCCCTCAATCCACTGAGCTACACCAGCCAGGGCTCCAGGTATTTTTTTGCTCACTCCCTCACTGTGCTAGTATTCCTTATGATACTCAGGCATTTTTGAGAGACACCTTTCCTGGCTACCTTCTCTAAAAATCTTGCTTTCACTTTTTGATCAGACCCTATTCTGCTTTGTTTCATGGCACCTGTGGATAACTGACATCGCATCTAGATCCTTCCTTTTCCCTCTTCCTCCTGAACATGGGCTCAAGGAAATCAGGGCCTTTCTCATCTTGTACTTCCAGTGACTGCAATGGGAAGCAAATACATGGAGTGAAATGAATGAGCAATCCCAGGGTTGTACCATGTGAGGTGTATTTGACCATTTCTGAAGTTGATGGTAAAGACAATGTCTAGCACCCCTCGTTAGGTATTTTTCTGGTGTTTTCTGACATAAATCATTATTATTATTATTATCTGTTTTCATAATTCAATAGTCAATGTTGACTAAGAGGAAATGAACAGCAGTTGAGGTTTTTCTGCCTCTCACCACTTCCAGATTATGAGATTTTCCTCTTACTGAGCTCCCTTCCCTGCCCTACTCTGCTCCTTGTCCTTCATCCTCAGGTCCAAACAGAAGCCTTTCCTCTTTTCTCAGAGCACTGGTCTCTTCAGCAGACTCCCAGCCTGTCTCTGTGTCAGATCCTTAGTCTACTCCAAGGAATTGCCTTCTACTTACCGGCTACCAGGAGTCCTTGCCAGTGGACAAGTCCTCTGTGGGTAGAGACTGACAGGGATCCCATGGTGTCTGCTGTCTTCTCTGTGGCTGCCACTTTGAGAGAAGCTCGAGGTTCGGCTGTGAGAAGCTCACAGCCACCTTTGCCCAGAAGGGTGCAAGTTGCTATGTGTTCTTCCTGTGGGCTGAGCTTTATACAGGGGCATGTTTGCTATTCTTGTCATGTGAGCTGGGGGCAGGGTTTATGCCCAGGACCCTCCCACTCCCTGCCCTCATTCTGCCACCCTTGCCCCTACTTACCAGTACTGCTCTTCTATATTTTGGATTCCTGGGAACTCCTGAGGCATCTCAACACCACACAGATGCACGCACAGGCACAAATGCACACAGGCATATAAACACACTCAAACACCCACTCTCATGCAGTGTTTGGGAAAGCACAAGCCTGGAGTTACCTGGTTTCAGGCATTCTCACAGCTCCCTGTCAGGTGTGCAGTAGCCTGTCTCATAGTCCTCTTTCTATCACATTTGCCCCTTCCCTTCAGAGCAGGTGTTCTTGAGCTAAGTCAGAAAAACCTGTCATAGTGATATCTCCCTTGCCTGCATCAGGTCACCTATGAAACTTAGTTATCATCGCAATGTCCAGCTGACACCTTAAAAATGCAGCTTCAACAGCTGTCCAGCTTGCTAATGTTGGTGCCCATTCAAAATGAGATCTCTTAATATGAAGGTAGAACCACCCCTCCTGCTCTCCTGTGCACAGGGGAAGTCCCCAGGCCCTGTTAAACTGCAGATTCTGACTTGGCAGGAGTGTGGTGGGTCAGAGACTTTGCATCTGAGAAGCTATCAGGAGAGGTTGATCCTACTGACCTGTGGAGCTCACTTGCAATAGCAAGGCTGATAGGGCATCACTGAGAGGATATCCCACTCACGCCAGCACTGGCCTCTGCTGCATCTTTGTCTTGGGTCTGTCATTGCTGCAGAGAGACATCCGGGTGTCATAAAAAATTAGGGATTATTTCTATTTGTGACACATAAACCCAACCAGGAATCTAGTTTTCTTCACGTTCTCAGATGTTCTGAGAAGGTTTTATTTCCTTCCAGCAGGCAGGTCACAGAGATGACTCTAGGGGTGAGAATGGGTCAAGCTTGATGATAATTGCAGAAGAGACCCTTCTTCTATCTCAAGTTGCCCCCCAGACTGGCTTTTGCTTTCAGGGAAAAAGATTCAAAACCAGAGGTCTCAATAAAACCTGCAGTTTTGGGGTCTGAAGTGGGAGGTGTTCTGAGTGTCCCAGGAAGAAAGGACTGTGAGGAAAGGTCAGGTGCCTGTAGGCTTTCTGGTCATAGAGGGATGAATTCAGGTAGACTATTCCTCTCCATGTCCATTTATTGGACCTGTCCTTGTGCTTCCTGACTCTTGAGACAACTGAGTTCTTCCTGGGAGGCTTCCTTGTGGTCAGAGGACTTGCCCAGGGATGATGCCAGGCTTGGGGTACAGAGCAGCAAAGAAACCATGATGGAGGTGGTGCTCTCAGACACTGTCAAAGTAAGAAATGTTCAAACCTGAAAGCAATGTAATGAATTGATCTGAGCTAAACTAACCTCATATGCCTGGGAGAAAGGACTCAAATCCTGTGTGGAAATATCAATGTGTGGTTGCTCTTCATGTGCCCCCTACTGGGGACCTGGCCTGCAACACAGACGTGCCCTGACTGGAAATTGAACCAGAGACCCTACGAATCTCAGGCCTGTACTCAATACACTGAGCCATACCAGCCAGGGAAGTATATGTTTTTTTTTTAATGATACTTTAAACCTGACTTATTTCTCCCCTGCCACCATTCTGTGTGGGGGTCAATGGGTATTATAGTCCTGAGGTCTTCCAGCTTGAAGTTCTCCATCCAGTTTTCAGACTGTGTGTTAGTCATGTTAATTTAAGAGAAGGAAACAGATCTAATCAAATCACCTTGTGTTTAGCAGGCTGCATCCTTCTCTTACTTGTCAATGTATCTCTTGCAACCTGTTTTTCTGAAAAGTTTCCACCTTTTTAATCATAAATGCCAGATTGGGTGGGGTGTTTTTTTTTTGCCTTTACTTTTTAAATTTAATTTAATTTGTTTGTTTGGGGTTTGTTTTGGGGGGGTATTTTTAGAAAGGGGAAGGGGTGGAGAAAGAGAGAGAGAAATGTTGATGTGAGAGAGAAACATCAGTCAGTTGCCTCTCATGTGGACCCTGACAGGGGTCTCTGTTTGGAACACAGGCATGTGCCTTGACTTCTAAGTAAGCCAGCAACTCTGTCTTGCTTTGTGGGAGAAAAACCAATGAACTGAGCCTCAGGAGTCAGGTTCCCATTTATTCTTCAACCAAAAATCATAACAGTCAGCTGTGGATGCAAAAGATATTTTTATCTCATCTTTTCTTTTTTAAAATTTAATTATATATTTTTATTGATTATGCCATTACAGTTGTTCTATTCCCCCCCTTCGTTCCCCTCCACCCTACCCCCCATCCCCACCATTACCCCCCCTTTAGTTTATGACCATGTGTCTCAAGTTCTTTAGATTCTATATTTTCCATACTATTCTTGCCCCCCCATCTATTCTCTATCTACCATCTATGCTACTTATTTTCTGTACCTTCTCCTCCCTTCTCCTCCTCCCACTTCCCTGTTGCTAACCCTCCTTGAGATCTTCATTTCTATGTTTCCACTCATCTTTTCAATTCCTCTAGCTAAACCAATAATTAAATTAACAGAGGCAGATTAGCAGGAGACTATGTACAAACTCTATTATACTATTAAATAGTCTGAAGTGAAGAAATGCACACCCAGAGAAGTATTGGGTAGTTAAGATTCATATTCTATTTTGAAGATAAAGAACAAAAGGCATTTGGTTTGAGGCTTCATAAGGCAAAAAAAAAAAAACATTTTCATGGATTTTCCCAAACAAATGAACTGCAAATAAATATTTCCTTGGCATGTCAATGTGAATATTCCTCCTTGAGCTGGTCCTCCATTGAAATCCTTCCTAGGAAGTTCAAAGGTTTTTTTCCTAAGCCTTCCGTTCTCCAGTAACAAGATCAGAATCAAGATCCTAAAAGGCAAATCTGCTTCCCTTCACAGCAGAGACACGAGTGGACTCTTAAGCTGGTTTAACAAGTCTCACTGAAATCTCAGTTCTAGTACATGTCAGGCATTAATTGAAGACATTATACACCTATATTATTACCAAACACATTAAGATACTGACATTGTTTTGTCAATCTAAAAAACAATGTCAGTATTTTAATGTGTTTGGTATCAACTACTGACTCCTTTATTACAAAAAAAAAGGATACATTTGAATCTGCTAATAAAAATGTTCTGTGCTGTGGTGTTCATAGATTCCTGCTTCTGGGGAAATTAATTCCTGGAGAGCAAGTCAACATGTGTGTTATGATTTTATCCACAGCTACTCAGGAAGAACTAGGAGTGCTGTGACACTGGCTCACGTCTCAGATTAGTGTTAATACTATCGGTACTTATTGATGAATAAGATCAGTTGTTGTGTTTTCACATGTCCCTAATCTAATTAGTATTTGCTGAGCTTGTTGCTGCCTGGAAGACTCCAGTCCCATTTCTATTGTTGAGACACTGGGACCAGGAAGTCTCCCAGAGGGCCGCCTGCTCAGTTTCAGTATCATTCAAATACTCCTACATTGATCTTAATTTCCTTCCTAAATTGCTTACAGCAGGAATGCCCCAGAGAAGACCTGATGTCACTACAACAACAATGGTTTTACAAGGCCCCCTGCAGTCATGGTAACTTCGTGGTATTGCTGTGTTGTCTTAGTCAATAAGAAATGTTGTGTATGGATGTTCAGGAGACATTATGATTCTTCATGACTTGTTCATTGGTAGATTCTGTAAATGTGTAATGAACTCGTACTGTAAATCTACCAGGCACTGTCTGAGGCACTGGGGACAGAGTAGTGGATGAAAGAGACAAACTGGACATGATGGCTGATGTCCAAGTATTTACTTGACTGCTCATATTTAAAAGGCACTTCAGAATGCCTTAAGATTTTTAAACCCAGCCAAATAATTTACCTCAGTGGGCTTCTCCAGTACTTTTCTGAATCTTTTTGTATTTTCACAATACCTCCATCTTCTTACAAAAACCTTAAATTCTTCACAAAACTCTTTGACTGTAGGTGCTCAGAACAAATTCAGAAACTGTAACTTTTTTTCACGCTGGTCCAACCATTCTTACCTGTCACCCGGATGGTGCACTTGTCTTATTACTGAGCTCCCTGCTTACAACCCAGCAGCCTTACTAATACTGGTTAATTTGGAGGCTAAAATATAACAAAATTGTACCCCTGACCTTCTAAATATTTTAGGCTTGCCTAATCATCAAAATGAGAGACACAGATTAGCAGAAAGAAATAAGGTTTTTAACATGTGATCATGGATGATTTACATAAGCATAAACATTGCTCGAACTGTAAAGCAACACTGGGTACATATAGTTTTTTTAAAAGGATTAAAAGGTTAAAGTGGGGCCTTATATTTCAGAAGTCAGAGAGTGCTTTACATGTAACTGAGAAGAGCAGATCCAAATGGCAAGAAAAATTTGGGGGCAACTCAGAATCAGTGGGACAGAGTGGGTATCTAGACAACAGGTGCCTTCCCAAAGTTCTCTTATGTACATCACATAGTCAATTAGCCTAAAGTGAATTATCCTGAAGCATGTTTCCTGTCTGAATCCCTTTGCAGAAATGTAGAAAGGGTCAACAGTTTTTTTCTGTGTTTTATTTTCTAATAAATGGCTTAAAATCAATATCCTAAAACCAAAATTTCAGGGTGGCAAAATGTTGGTTTCCTTCAATAAACACAGATTACTTGAATCTCTTTTTTTTCTTCAACCTTCCAGTTTCTCCCCAGTTCACTCAGAGTAAAGCCAAGGTTCTGGCTGATGGCTTTTTTATTTCTGACTTCATGTACTCTCATCTTCTGATCTCTTGCCTCCAATAAGTTCACATCCTCTGTGCTGAGCCAACATATTTGAGTTGAAAAAGCAAATAATCCCATGTATGCCTCACTTTATCCTAACATACTATTGACACTGGTAAAGACACCGAGGTTCCTACTGCCTGTCACATA